GTTTGGCCTCAGAGGAAGTAAGCCTGTTAATGGCATGGATTTGAATTCTAAAGCCTTGGGTTCGAGTGCCAGCTCTGCTACTTATTAAGAGAAGTCCTGAGAGAAGTCCTTGAACTGTGCCTCAGTTTTCTCATCTATAAAAGGGGGATAAGAATGCTTGTACTACCTACTTCATTGTTGGGGAGCACATGAGATGTATTGAAAGTGGATCATAAGATTGTAGGTAGAGGGGACCTTAGATTAAGTCATCAAGTTAAACTCCCTCATTTTACAAAAGAAAACTCAGATTAAGTCATCAAGTTAAATTCCCTCATTTTACAAAAGGGACCTTAGATTAAATCATTGAGTTAAACTCCCTCATTTTACAAATGAAGCAACTGAGGTTAAGAGACTTGCCCAGGGTCACACAGCTCATAAATATCTAAGGCAGGATTTGAATTCAGGTCTTCTTGACTCCCAAATGCAGTGCTCTATCCACTGTGCCATCTAGCTGCCTTGTGTATTTCATAATTGTAAAGTGCTCTATGAATATGTTCTTATGATTATTATTATTAGTCATATTATTTTCAAGTCAGTAAACTTAGGTGATCTTCCTTTCAAGATATGATATTGGCTGGCATTTATATAGCACTTTAAGCTTTGCAAAACTCCTTACAAGTGTTATCTCTTTTGATCCTCAGGACAACCCTGTGAGGTAGGTGCTAATCCCATTTTAGAGATGAGAACACTGAGACTGAAAGAGATTGTGACTTGCTCAGGGTCACACAGCTAGTAAGTATCTGAGGCAGGATATGAAGGAACATCTTCCTGACTCTACTGTGCCAACCTAGCTACCCCTAAGAGCAGTTCATTCCCCATAAAATCCTCCATTCCTGGGAAACTGGGTCTGCTGGCTCATGTGGGTGGCAAGGACAGCCTAAATGAGGGAAGTGTTGATGGGAAGAGAGGCCGAAATCCCATCAGATGAAGATTAATGCCACGGGTGGTGGGAAGGTAGTGACGGTAGTAGTGGAGAAATCTTCTTTTAAATAGGAAGAGATCAAGAGCAGCCTGCATCAGCAGTGGGACTGTGATCCCCTCAGAAATCAGCACAATCATCTGCTGATGGAGGACTCAGGAACAGCATCCCAGTTCTCCTTTGGACATAGCTGCTGCCTAAGAGAAAAGACTCAGCAGAAAGATGTACCTGTTAAGAGGATGTCTAATATTTCACGGACAGTTTTACCAGCTGCTGGGGATGGGGTGAGTTGAGTTTTAAAAGTAGGGAGAAACTCAGGGAAGGTTGGGAGTAGGGAAGTGGGAGCCAAGTTCTGGTCTGAGAAATGTTTGCAAATGAAGTCCTGGATCCAAGAGCCAAGACAGTCTAGAGCAAAAAGGGATTGATTTAGGATAAAACAAGAGCAAAGGCTTGGTTTCCAATTTGCTTTTGTTTGGAACTAGGATGCCTTTCTGGCCCCAGGGCCCAGACAGGCTCCCCATCTCTCCTCAAAGACAGGGCCATAGTAGTCCTTTGGAATGGGGTAGGGAAGTCATACAAATGACCCTAAATGTCCTTTTTACCATTAACTCTTTCTTAGACACTGGCTTCAAGTTCTGACAGTAGCCAGTGCAGCTGGGGAAGGGGTAGGGGTGGTGACGCTGATGTTAGCCCTCCATCATCCCTAAGAATCCAGGAACACAGTCTGCTGCCAGAAAGGGTAGATAGGTGTGCCATAAAATTTGCATATTTGAATTGAGATCAAAATCCTATTACAATTAATTTCAATAGGAGTGTCTCAACTCTTTCATTATCCTGAGATTTTGTTGTATCGAAATGCTTTTCAGAAACATAAGGGCCAGGCTTTGAAAGCTTTTCACTATATGAAGTTATTCAGTTGAGTGAAATTTGTAATAAAGGATTTGACCTGTAATAATTAGTCTGCCCTAGAAGAGGTTACTGAAGCTTAATAGGGGAAACTGAGATCAATTTTTTCTGAGCTTCAGGTCCCTTCAAATACTCATTCAACAGCTATTTATTAAAACTTACCATATGCAAAGCACTGTGCTAGACCCAGTGGGAGATAGATAACAAAGCTTCTGTAAGACACAGTTCCTGCCTTCCTGCAGCTCCTAGTCTAGTAGGAACAGTCTAATTTGAACCAGAAGTGGGGAATACAGGCTAGGCAGGGGTATAAGACTAAGAGGCAGGACAGACTGTAGTGTGGTGGGAGCTGAGCAGTGGTGGCTGCATGGCTGAGCTCTGGGAAGGAAGGATCTTCAGGAGCCCCACTCCTGGCCAACGGGCACTTTTCTCTTTCTATGGCTCCATCAAAAATTCTTAAAGAGAACACAAGTCAGCACCCATTGCTCAGCACATAACAAACAATCCCTGAAACCACAAGTGTCTGCGAGTGTCCTTGCTAGATAGCAGCATGTCCTTGGAAGAATCTAAGGCTGCATGGGGAGTGGGCCAAGAACAAACGTGTGTGTATCTCTTTGAGAAATTGGTTCCCTCTAGCCCTCCTGTATTCCAAAGTCAAATAAAAATTGTGTTTGGACTAGCCGTGCCCTTTCTCCTTTCTCAAGCTGTAGGTAACCAAATATTGGCTGAGATGAGACATTCTCTCTAGAAATATAAAATCTCTGAGCCAATGGGTTGAAATGGTCCCTTTGAGCTCTTCCTTTCTATCTGGCCAGCCCCCATCTCTCAGCCTTTGTTTCAAAGGTCTGAGAAAAATTCTGTGCCTTCAAAGTTTCTTAGCCTTCAGGTCTGAAGAAGGCACAATGGCACGGCTCTGGATAATGGCACCCAGTGCTGGGCTGCCTAGGATGGGCAAAGCTACTTCCCAGCCAAACTTGTCCCTCCAAGTTCTCCAGGAAGCTGGAAGTCTCTCACAGCCAAAGTGGCAGGAAGGAAATACCAATGCCCTCTCACGTGGGATGGGGACATCTCCCTTCTATGTTCTGCTTCTAAACAGAGCTTCTTTTTTAGTGTCTAAGCTCCACTGAGGAATAGCTAAACCATCCACTTCTGGTTGTAGTCTATGCTGTTCTCCAATCCTTCTCTTGCATTCTGAACTTGATAGGCAGGGGGATTTCCGAGCACCACTGTGGTCATCCCCCCATGGCAGGAGGCCCCCCTCCCACTATCTCTGGAACATTTAGGGGGGAAGGTAAAGGCAGTTTTAAAGGTCAAAAGAAAAATAATTTTATATTTTTATTGAATAAACATAGTTCATCATGAACTTTCTTTTCACGTGCTCAAACCAAGGCTGCTATCCTCCACCCTCCCAGCAGGTTGAGGAGTGTAGTAGACCATTGTGACTCATCCTATATCTGCCTACTGCCAGGCTGACCCCTGCCTCATTGGGGTCATTCACATGTCCTAGGCATATTGCATTGTCCTCCTTCAATCTGCCAAATGGCAGGGGCCTGTCCTGGCATGGGTTGCAGAGGAATTTTAGACAACCTAGATTTCTTCTCTGGGGAGAGGTTTCTTCCTGGATTTGGCAAAAGGAGGAGGAAATGAGAGGAATGAGCATGTGGGGAATGGGGAATGAAGCTGGGAAATGAACCTAAAGAATCCCTGCAGCTATTCTTAGATCATGGCAACTACAAGGACTCTCCAGGTCAAGAGGAGTTTCCCAGCCCGCTCTGGCTGTTTTAACAAGTCCCCATTAAAACTGGACTTGAGGCCTTCCAACGCTACTACTACCAAACTAGCCCTCCCCAGTGGCCCACAGTACAGAGCGACATGCCTCTCAGAATGCAGTGATTGATTAAGGATCGACTAAAACAGCATCACACAGTGTTGTGGGCAAGGACAAAAAGAGAAGACAGAGAGAAAGAGAGGGAAGGAAGCAGAAGACCACAGGAAGTAGGACACAGTAGTAGACAGTGAAGGGGGAGGACAAAGAGGAAAGAGGAGGGGAAAAGAAGATTAAGGGCAACATAAAGAGGAGACAGGGAAGCAGGGCCTGAAAGCAGAAGGCTAGGAGCAGAGCAGGTGGGGCAGGAAGAGACAGATGAGCCAAGAGCAAGGAAGCCATCAGTTCTGGGTTCACGAAAGGCAGAGGTCCTCTAGTATACTTGTTCTTGTTGTTGTTGTTTCCAGACAACAAAGAAATAAAGAAAAAGAAATAAGAGCCCCAGATTATGGGTTCTCCAAGCCTAGTTGGGGGAGTGGCTTAGTAGACAGTCTCTCACCCCTCTTTCCCCTCCCTACCCCCCTCGACATCTTGGCAGCCCCACAAGCAACCATGGTGACTTCAGGAAGCATGGAGAATCAGCATCGCTCTTCTATAAACCTGCATAAGTCAGCCCTGATTGTGCTCACCCTGCCTCCTTCTCTGCCTCCCCCAGGCTCCCTTCTATTCACTGTTTAGACACAGAATAGAGTATTCCCAATCTGAAGCAGTGAATCGTGTAGCTTAAGTGTTCTGGGGACTCTCCCAGGGAAAGAAGCTCAGGAAATCCAATCTTGGATGGGCAAGAGGAAGAAGCAGCCTTTGGAGATCCATGGTGGCAAAGGTTAATACCAACCCAACTTTTCCTTGCCACTCAGCATGTCTCTAGGCTGCCTGCCCTCAGGCAGTGTGGGCTCATGGAATGCAGTGTTTTATATTAGCCAAATAGAATCAGAAAGAAAAATCTGCAGTGGCGGTGGTAGTGATAGGGAGAATGATGATGCATTCCAAAGCCAAATACAAAAGGACTTTTGAGGAAAAATCATTAAAAATTGGCTAGTCCAATTTCTGGCTAGACATCAAGCATGTGGTGGTGATGCCAGGAGACAACTTAGGAAAAGGTCAACGTCAGCTTTGGGTCTTAGGATATGCTGCTCTCAGGGCAGATAAAACAGCTCCAGGGACAATGACTATTGAAAGCCCCTAGAAAGACCCACTAGAAAGAACCATGGGGACTAGGAAGCTCCGGCCTGATTGGAGCCCCATCCCTTCCTCTCCCACCTACTCAACCCCTACCTCCTCAAGTCTCTGCTCCAGGCCTTGGGCCACACTTACTGGTGAGAACCTTGAGCGTGAATGGGTTTTTCTGCTGGATGGTGTGAGTAAAGTGGAAGCGGGCATTACAGCTGTAGTCGGTCTTGGCATCCTGCAGCATCACGTTAGAGAAGTACAGATCTCCATTCTGGCCTTGGGAGACACGCTTGTCCTGGTTAATAGGCTCCATAGCTAGAATAAGGAAGCACATGGTTAGAAGGTTGTTAACCCAGGTTCTCTCCATCCCATATAGGAAGCAATGGAGCCAGGGGCTCAGAGGATCATGGTGCTCTGGGCCAATATCAAGATCTTGTTGAACTGAATTGATTATAGGATTTCAGAATTGGAAAGGACTTAGAGGTCATCTAGTCCAAATCCCTCATATTCTAGAGCAAGGAAAAACTTTTTCAGTGACACAGGTTACACAGGTTAAAACCAGGACTGAAACCCAGGCACTCAGACTGTAAATTCAAGCAATATTTTGTTGACTTTTGCTGTTGACTCATTTCAGTTGTTTCTGACTCTCTGTGACCCCATTTGGGATTTTCTTGGCAAATAGGATGGAGTGCTTTGCCATTTCTTTCTCCAGCTCATTTTACAGATGAGAAAACTGAGGCCAACATGGTTAAGTGCTTTGCCCAGGGTCACACAACTAGTAAGTGTCTGAGGCTGGATTTGAACTCACAAATATGAGTCTTCTTGACTCTACACCCAGAACTCTACATACTTAAATCCCAAGACTAGTCAAGAGCTATCCAACTGGGTGAGTAACAACTGATTTAAGATGAGTAGCTGAAGAATGCTAACTTCACGTCTATGTTTGTCAAAGGAATAAATGAATATGTGTATTACTCCCCCTCCTCTTCCTTCCCCCCCCCCCGCCCATTACAAGTGATATATCTTCCAGGAGAAAGTAAGATTCAGAAAACTATGCTCTTGGTAAGAATATATTTGTAAGGCTACATAAAAATGGACATTCTCTTCCTAATTTTCCAGTACTTCTTTCCAAGTATTTCATTCTCAATTAGTAATTATAAAAACAATAGCTAGCATTTAGTTGGTGCTTCAAGGTTTGCAAAGCACTTCACATGGGTTATCTCATTTGATCTTCACAATTACCCCATGAAGTAAGGGCTATTATTATTATCATTTTATAGATGAGTAAGATGAGGCCAAGAGAAGTTGTGACTTGCCCAGGATCACACAACTAGTGTCTGAGGTGGGATTAGAACTCAAGTCTTCTTGTCTTCAAGCCCAGCAGTCTATCCCTTGCACCACCTATGCTGCTAATGACACCATGGTAGTGAAGTGAGATCCTTATCTAGGCCTGCTAATTCTACATAGACAATAATGCTGGTTCACAGCCACAGACTTTGCCTCTAAGCCCAGCTAATGTCATGGTCATGGTCACAGGGGAACCAGAAGAGAGAGGGAAGATGGCTCAGTTCATCCTCACTTCTGTAAAAACAACTTGGCATTTGTGCCTTTTTATCATTTTTGTATAAGCAGGTCTTCAAATAAGGATATTTCCCCATTCACTCTTCAAGACATAATATCTCTGTGTCTTATCATACTCCCTTTAGTGAGGAGGAGGAACTAAGGGGCTAAATAAGTCATTCAGTGCTGTTGCAAGGCAATAGCCAAGGCATAAACAGCTCCCAGAATGATAATGTCACATCCCCTGCTCTCAACACGCCCCACCTCCCAATTCCTCCATAGAAAGAATGCATACCTCCACCTCTACCACAGTATGTGAAAACATGGCCAAGCCTAGCATTGAATGTGCTGACTTGGTATTAACCTGCCTCCTGCTGTCTTATTTATTGGCCCCTGTTTCCTATGATAGGGTCTTCCCACCTGGAGGATCATGGGGGTGGCTTGGGTCCTTCAGACTCACCCAAGTCACCTTCTCATCTTCCTCTTCCCCTCCCAATGAGACTTACAGCTACTCATCCAGAAGATGACAGGAGATGGCAGCCCAGGAGGGGGGTTGCACTGGAGGGTCAGGGGTGCTCCCTCTTGAACCACTACAGGATCCAGGTTTTCCTTGGGCCACAGGGGTGACTCTGTGGAGGAATAGAAGGTGGTCGATGAGAACAGGATGGGAGCAGGGGAGAGAAAAGAGGTTAAAAGAAGAGGTGAGGGGGTAAGAACTGGAAGAGAGAGGGGAGCAATGAGGCAGGGGAATAGGGGAGGCAAGAGAAGGGTAGAGTGGAGGGGGGCAATGAGGGCAGGATGCAGCAAATGAGATAGGGCAAAAATGAAACTTGTCTTAACTCTGAGTTGAGTCATGTTCTTCTAGAGTTCCCCACCTCTTATCCATTCTCCACTTTAAACACAGTGTCAGATAGGGGTATCAAAATGTTTTTATTTTGACTTCTGAAACTTCTTTTACCTCCTCTTAGCACCCCAGCCCCAACAATCTTACACACACACACCACACACACACACACACACACACACACACACACAGGTACACAGATAGAAGGTGAGGGTCTCCTGCCTGGAGGCCAGGGAGTGGGTGGGATGATCTCAGTGATGCCAAGAAATCCACCTGTATAACTAGTTAGGAAAGCTAGATAAGGGTGGAGTCCTTTTTTCTTGGCTGAAATGACACTCCCAAAACCATAACTCCGTGGTTTTCCCAAGGAACCACAGCTACCCAGAAGCCCACATAACCCCAACCTTATCTTTGCCAGATGTTACCCCCAAGCAACTCACTTGACACCTGCAGGAAGATCCTGTTAGAGAGGGCCGTCCCAAATTTGTTGCGGGCAAAGCACTGGTATTCTCCCTCATACTCTTCAGGTCGCCCACCACTGCGGAAGTCAATCACCAGTGTCCCTGACCGGCGAAACATTGACACCCGGGGATCCTTGGCTACGTTGAAGAATCGGCTATTTCGTGTCCACTGGAAACTGTGGGGATGAGGAGGGGAGAGAGATAGTAGCAGAAGAACAGGGAGGGAATGAAGGCTCCAGACTGAGAACATTGGGCATCTCTTATCATTCTTGGTGCTCCTATTCTAGTGTCAGTCCTTTGAACCCCAAAGCTACTAATCTACTCACTCTCTAGAACAGGGAATCATCATGTTAACCATGAACTTGGATGGGGGAAAACATTTACATCTTTATTTTCACTAACCTTTAATGAAAATTAATTATTAATGTGGGCAACAATTAATTATAAATGATTAATTATTCATATTCCATATTCATATCATCCACCATCCATACGAATTATGAATGGGTAAACCACTGTTCTGAGAAGGGGTCCATATACTTTGCCAGACTGCCAAAGGGGTCTTATGTCACCAACAAGGTTCAGAATCCCTGCTTTAGAGAGGCAAAGAGACATAGGGCCACTGGCCTTGAATTAGGGCCATCAAAAGGTACAACTAATGCCAGAAGAAAGGTCACCTTTGCTAGTATTCCTGTTGGAGCCTTTTCCCTTCCCCAGGAGAATTAACTTCTCTTTGCTCCAGGTTATTTGAGAAACAGTGCCTGAATCTTCCAAACATTCAGCACGCCCTTTATTTGACCTGTAGAATGGCCTTCTGATCTTGAATGAACCTCCAAAGAATCACAGACTGTCAGAATTGGAAGGGGCCTTGGAGACCACCTCATTCAACTCAGAGAAGAGGCCTAGAGAAAATAGGTAATCTGCCTGAGGTCACACAGCTAGACAGGGGCAAAACTAGAACTCTGGGCTTATTCTCATCGCCACTGCTATGATTGTAAGTTCCTTAAGGGCAGAAACTGTCTTTTACCTCTTTTTGTATCCCTAGCACCTAGTACAGTGCCTGGTACATAGTAGGCACTTGATAAATGTTTATTTATTGGTTGATTTTAGTGGCCAAAAATATTTTGGACAAGACAGAGTAGAATTCACCAGTGGAGATTTCCCTCTATATTGACATGCGTATTGACTTCACTTTCTATTTCATTGTCTCCTTATTCTTCTCTTGACTCCTTCGCATGGATATTCCCGAAGGTATGTCCTTGGCCCTCTTCTTCTCTTACTCGCTCTCCCTTACAAATATATATATATTCAGTCCTGACTTATCTTCCGAATTCTAGACTTGTGTTACAATTACTTGCAATTGCTTTGATGAGACCAGAGCAGAAAGAAATGAATTATATCATAAGGGGCTTCATTAATATGTGAAGAAGTACCATTTGCCAATTAAATGAAAACTACTGATGGAGTGTAATAGAGCATCTCTAATAATAATAATCATAATATAGTCAATATTTGTACAGGTTTTCAAGGTTTATAAAGCTATTTACAAACTTTCCAGGTTCACATGATCTTCACAACTCTCCTTTGAGGTAGGCAGTGCAAACCATTTTTCAGATGAGGAAACTCAGAGACACAGCGGGCCTCATTCAATGTCATCCAGCTAGTGAGGGGCAGGGCCAGAACTCAAATCCAAGCCCTTTAGATGCCAAATACACAGCAGCCTGACAGAACTGAAAGAAGTGTGTTCTGCAAGTTGGGAACCCCGTGTTCTAAGATGAACCCTGCTACCCGTGTGACCACAGGAACATGATTTAACCTCTTGAGGTCTCCATTCCCTCTGATAAAATGAAAGATTTGGATTAAATACACGATCTCTAAGCCCCCTTCCAGTGCTAGCATTTTCTATCTCTCACCTAGGTAGGACGGCCATCCCAAACGACAGAGGTCATTCAGCGTCCCTCTCTCATGGTCCCTTCTGTCTATTCCTCCCCACATCCCATCCCTCAGATTCTACCTGCCAATGCACTTACCTGGGGGTAGGGTTCCCCTTAGCTTCACACTCAATGAGGATGTTGTCTCGAGGGTCCACGATGTAATTTTTCACTGACTGCTTGGTGATAGTTGGGGGCTGAGATACTGCAACAGTACACATAGAAGAAAGAATGGGATCTGGAGGTAGGATCTCTAACTACCTGTGAGGGGTGGCAGCTGAAATAGGGGGGATGTGGGAGCTTTAGGAGCTAGGAGAGGAATTGTTGCATGCATATATGTGTGTGTGTGTGTGTGTGTGTGTGTGTGTGTGTGTGTGTGTCTGGGGTATCTGATGATGCACTACTGAGTCCTAGCTTCGCAGGTGGCAACTCGAGGAAGGGGAACACAAGGACCTGGCAGACACCCCTCCAGGAAGGAACAAGGCCTCCCAATCTTTGCAAACTGAACAGGCAACAATGGCACTGACCCCTCCATTCAGAGGGCAGGTAGAAGCTGGCAGTAGAAGCCAATTCTGCATCATGGAATTCCATGATGAATTTGGAGTTGGAAGTGACCTTGGAGGTCATCGAGTCCAATACCCTCAATTTACTGATGAGGGATGGTGATTTGCCCAAAGTCATGCTGGTAGTAAGTGACTGGGGCCAGGATTTGAACCCAGGTCCTTTGACTCGAAAACTAAGACACTGTACCACACTGTACCACCCAGTGGTAGCTGCTTGTCCCAGAGAACTTCCTGAGGGGATACCCACTGTTTCTGTGAAGTTAGTTACCCTTCCTCTGGGCCCCTGGAAGCTGGAGCTCCCACACACTACTTTGTGATCCCTGTACCACACCACCCAGACACACCAACTTAGGCCTTCGCTCAAATCCCAATTTTTTCTGCTTTTCTTGTTTTCTTTCCTTCCTTACAACAGGGTGGCTGCATCCTATTCTTCCTTTTCCTTCCTCTTACAAGAAGAAACTGGTCTACTTGTGACTGTCTGCAGTGTCTTTGCTTTCCCCAACGTGATGTCTATATTTCCCCATCATCACAACCCCTGCAGGGATCTTGCCCAAGTGACCTAACCTAGGGGAGGTATCCCCACCCAACCCTGAAAGTAGACACAACTCACGGGAGCTTCTAGCATAGGAGTATTTTTAGGGGGCAGGATGCTTGGAGGGTTCCAGAGGCTACTTGCCCAAGAAGGTGGGCCCTCCTTCCCCCCACCCCCAGCAGGCACCAAGCACTGACCAGGCCCAGAAGACCAAGGGTGGGACTTACGCTCATTTTGAATGTTTGCTGTTAGTTCCGATGGGTTAGCATTGGAGGGGGGAGGGGAGAAAAGAAGAACAATGGTTATCATCATGTCTTATATTTCTACTCAACCCCAGCATGCAGGGACAGGGTGGGGACAGAAGGGCAGGGAGGGGCTGGGCTCTTCCCTTTTCCCATCACAAGGCTCAGTGGGGGAACCAGGGATGATACATAGGGAAGAGAGGCTTGATACACCATGTACAATTCAGGCAACTGCCCACATCACATAATTGGGGATAGGGAGAGCTATAGAAAGTTCTGCAGTGTTGGAAGTCCAAAGTCTGACAAAGGAGGAAGAGCAGACATTTTCAATGAAGCTTGGATGCTAAAGAGAACAAAATCCCTTAGACAGCTGGAACCTAAATAGACACCCAAATTCTAAAGATTTTATCAACTGACCAGAGAACGGGTGACACCATGGTGTAAGAGAGGGTAGAAACTAAGCAGTATCACAGGAAGGATGGTGGTCCCAGGTTGAAGGTGAGACACCATGAGAAGAGGTGGTCCACCTGCTCTTCCACATCTTCTTTTTCCTCTCTCCCATACCCAGCACTTTCTTTCCTCCTCTACCAGCCTTCATAAACAACCTTTAAAGACCAAGTTAATTGTGATAGTGTAATGAAATTTTGCTATAATGAATACATTTGTAGATACTTTATTTCTGGTTGGAAGGACCAAGAAATGAAACAAAACTGACCCCTGACTTCTTTTTGCAGGGCTCCCCTCCCCCCTCCTGTGCAAAATAAAGGAGGGGTCCCAGTTCCTGAATCCTTTTGGGAGTAGTTTTTTTTGTCAGCACACTGATTTGGAAATTTTATTTCACTTGATTGTCTGGAATGCTGGAAGTAGTCAGCAATTAGGGGTAAGTGATATACTCATATTTATCCCTTCTGCTATCCCTACAGTGAATGTAGTATAACATTCTTATTTACTTTTGACACATTTTTTCTTAAAGTTGTGATAGTATGTTAGTATTTTAATTTTTTTTAAAGAGGGCTTATGGTGGAAGCTAGAAGGCTGTTGGATTGTATGGGACAACTGTCATGATATTTCTGCTGTCTAGCTGGGTTCTAGCTTGATCTGAAGGAAAATTATCAGGAACTCAGAATATAAGGGATGGAGGAATTAGATAGAAAGAGAATCAGGAAGTCATGGAAGGAGGGAAGAAAAAGGATACCCAGGATAATTAAAAGAAGGCCAAAATAGAAGTGACCAAAGAAAGAACTTTCTAATAATGAGAATTACTTGAAAATGGAATTGTTTTTGGAAGTATTCACACAGGGGCTACAAGCTATGTGTGAAGGATTTTCACAGAAGCAAAGAACGTGTGAGATGGAAGGGACCACCCATGAGGAAGAGATGCCACTCAAACCCAGTCCATTGTTCTTTGCACTATATCATAATGCTTCCCCCTCTGAGGTTGAGGAGATTCCTGCATGGGGTGGGAGAATAAGATTTTATGAGCTTGTAAGGCGAGGGAAGATGGAAGAGGAGAGTAGTGAGAGATGGAGCAGGGTTATACTATATACTGCTAGAAATTTAAAAAGGTAAGAGGCATGACTGCATAAATTTTCCCTTAAAATAGGCCAGAGACGGTGAACTTGATGGACTACAGAAGAGAGACTTTGCCAATTTTTAGATTTTGCCTAGGGCTGGTCCTGGAGGGAGTGGAGCAGAGGTAAAATAAAGACTCCTGGGAGAGAGCAAGACTCCACCATTATTGAATGAAGGGGCCAAAGAGGTCCTTTCAGGGGGAATCCACAAAGCCATTGGACTTTATGCTAGAGTATAGACCAGAGGAATTATGGGAAAGGTCAAAAGCCAGACAGAACTAGGTATAAGAGGTGAGGTGGAAAAAATGGCAATATTTTCTAAAAAATTCAGGCTGAGACAAGAACCCAGGCCTCCTGATGATTACCCAGGCCACTTCTGACTTCCCCCTTCTCTATCTGATTTACTCTCAAAGGTACAGTATCCTTCCTGGCTCTTAACATTTCTGTGATTATTTAAGAATGGGAGCTAGTTCAACTTTCAGATTGAAATCTAAGAAAGAGGGGTCAGATTCAAATCTGATCTCTAAATAGCTAGCATTTATATAGCACTTTGAGGTTTACAGAGCACATTATAACATCCCTGTGAGGTAAGGGCTATCATCATCCCTATTTTACAGATGGGGAAACTGAGGCTGACAGTGGTTAAGTTACTTGCCCATGGTCACACAGTTGGTAAGTCTCTGTGGCACTCTTACAAATTGTACCAGCAAGCTGGCTCATGTGTTAAAATGGGAGAACTAGATTTGAATCACAGGATTTTAGAGCCAGAAAGAATTTTAGAGTGCTAGATCTGAGTTCAAATCTTGCTGCAGAGACTTACCAGCTGTGTGACCGTGGGCACACAGTAACGGAACCATTCCCAACCTTAGTTTCTCCATCTGTAAAATGGGGATAATGATAGCACTTACCTCACAGGATTGTTATAAAGTACCTAAAGTCATATGACCTAGGTAGGACTCACTCAAGCTGAGGTCTCCAAATTAATTGTTCTTTTCACTACTTTGCACTTACTCCCTGCCTCTAGATAGCACAGCCTTTCCTTTGCTAAAGGCATCACAAGGAGGAGAATTTCAAGGTCTAGGAACCCTGTGTTGCCCCCTTTCTTCTACATTTTCTTTAAGAAGGAGTTACTAAGTTTTTTTTTATACATTCATAAGAGGCCAGAGTTGGAAGGGACCTTAGAAATCATTTAATTCAATCACGTTTTCTTATAACTGAAGAAGCCAAGGCCCAGAGACTTGAGCTGGCTTCTCCAAGGTCACAGAGCTAATTAAAGCACAATTGTCCACTGATCTTTTCATTCTGTGCTGCTGCCTCTTCTGAAGCCAATCAGGACATCAGGCAGCCTCTCTGTTCCCCCTTGATATGCAGGGGACCTGAGGAAGGGGGATGGATGGGAGGCCTGAAAGCACTATTATTGTTATTCTGGTTATAACACCTACAAAATCATGCATGGGGCAGCGGAGAATACCAAGTCATCCAGGGATAGTGGTAGGAACAGCTGGCTGGGGGCTTATTAAGAAGCCCCTTGCTCTACAGGGAAATGACATCTGGAGTCACTGAAGTATAATCAAGGATTTTATTACCAGGGCTGAATGGATGCCAAAGAAAAGCCTGCACTTAATCTGCTATGGAAAAGGTCTGCCAGACCAGAGGATGAGGATTGCAAATAAATTCACACATTCTAGACAGCCAGGCTCCTTCTTATGTGTCATTGGAGATGCTAGGGCCATACCACCTGCCCCTCTCTCCTGCCACTGGACTTCCTTTATGGCTATGTCAAGAGGAGAATGCATTTGCCCTTGGGGTTCCAAAGGGGAGGAAAAGTCCTCCAGCTGGGCTCTGGGTGGGTGGGGGAACAGATGCAAGGGAGACCTGTGTCTGATTTCTTTGATTCAAGTGACCCCTTTCTTTTCCTGAGTTAGGAGTCTGCTCTGATGTCAACAGCGGCTTCGGCTGCTGCCCCGTGGGGGCCCCTTTCCAAAGCTCAGGCTGGGTGTTAGGGCACAAAGTGAGTGTTCTGCCTGGACCGCCTTCTCTGTGGGTACCTAGGAGAAGAATGCTGAGTCTCTGGAGGGAGTAGGGGGAGGAAACGGGAGAAAGATGCCAGCGGACTCACTTCTTGGCAAACCCACACTAGCTGGAGAGGCCATTCTTTGCTTTCTGCAAAGGTCATGCTGTTCTGCTTGACTGGTGAGGGAGTAAAAAGAGTAGGGGGTGGGGGGCTGACTCAGTGGGCCAAGGCAGCAGCAGTAGCAGGAGACTGCATGCATCAATGGGGGACGGAAACTCTGGGTCCATAAACCAGCCAAGGGGCAAAACCAACTCCACCATCAAGGCACAGGAAAAATACTCCCTGTCGATCAAGTAAGTGGAACCGCTGGGGGCAGCCTCTTGGGTTCCTTGGGGCCAAGTCACTCCAGGGCCCCCACAGGCCAGCAGAGATCAAAAGTTAAGATTGACATTGGATCCCAAGCACATTCGATTGTGTTTCAGGCACACGGGGCATCTGATGGATGGACTCAGCTAACCATGGGATGACATCTGTTGTGCCAGGTCCAGGAGGACAACAAGAAGGACAGGGGAGGGGGAGGAGGGGGGCTCTTCCCAGAATGGCTTTGGGTCTTTTCTAAGGGGATCATGTTTCTGTTGCCTTGCAGGGAGGTTTTGCAGCTGCCAATTTTCTTTGTGTGGAGGTATCTCTATGGCTGATGGGCCAGGGTCTCTCTGTAGGACTGCAAGTGAAATACAGTGAGCATTTGGGACATGCCACATGCCTGCAGTTTGCCTTGGTCCTGTACAGTGGGCCCAGACTCAGCTAGATCAGTCTCCAGAGCAGACAGTGAGAGGCCTCACTTTTCCAAGGGCTCCACCAGACACCCAGAGAAATAAAGTAAAACCAGTAGGAGGCAGGGCAGTCTAAGGAGATGGACAACACTGGACAGAGAGCCACAATACCACGCTGCTCATCATGATCCTTCACTCATTTGTTATATGACCCATTTACTTTCTCTGGGCCTTAGTTGTTCTTCATACAAAATGGCATGGTAGAGAGAGGGGATCTATCATCCTTGCCTCTTTACCTAAGCCTCTTTATTATGTTTTAGACAAAGTGAAATAACATAGAATGATATTGTACCAGATGTAAGGAAACTCAAGTTCTAGCCATGACCCTGCCATTAATTTATTTGACCTTGGACAAGCCATTCAAAACTTCTCTGGGCCTCAGTTTATGGCATGGATGCCTTCTCAGAATAATGTTTTTAAATACATAAAATAAAATCCATAGGATTACAAAAGAAATCTAAAGTTAGTAAAAAATCAAGGTGTCTTTTTTTTTCTCCATCAAAATTCATGGACAGCCTAAAATATTCACACCTTAAATTAAGAACCCCATGACCTTGAAAGTACTTTCAGCATTATGATTCTGGTCTAATGGAGATCCCCAAGGAGGAGTCTGGAGTTCTTTGTCGGAAAGGTGCTACTATGGAGATTGCTCGTGGTTGCATTGGCTGCCCACATGGCTCTGCGCCTCTTTAGAGAACCAGCTGTTTTAGCAGATTCTGGAGCAATTTATTTATAGTTTCTACCTTGTGGGAAGTTCTGTGCCCACAGGCCCCAGGGAAGAAAGTGGCGGATGGGGGAGGGGAAGGGGGAGGAGGAAGGGAAGATGCAGAAGAGAAATGAGCCTTCACTACTTTCTTGATAACCTAATTTCCTTTGCCCCTCAGGGACATGGCCTCATCGAGCGCCTTATTAGACTGTCTGCCTAGGTCTGTTAATGAGAAAGTCTCCCTGAGCCAATAGCGTTCTCACACCTTATGGGAAGAGCCCCTCATTAGAACCACTAGTCTAGGGGAAGCACGGACCTTGCCCACTCAGAAAGAGGCAATGGGGTTTAGTGGATAGAGTGCCGAACTTGGGGCAGTAGAATCCTGGGTTCAAATCCAACCTCTGACAATTATTAGTTGTGTGATCACAGGCAAATCACTTAACCTCCCATAATCTTTCTGAGCCTCAGTTTTCCAATCTGTAAAATAGGGATTTAATTTGTAGTACTTATATCACAGAGTTCTTGTGAGGATTAATTAATGGGCTATGTAAAGCATTATATAAATGGCAGCTTTTATTATTTTAAGAATAGTGGCAAAGAGAGGCAACCTCAGAATCAAGATGACTTGAGTTCAAGTACTGCCCTTGACATATACTGGCTATGTGACCTTTAGTAAGTCAATTAACTACAGCCAAATCTCAAAGATAAGTTGCAATACAGTTGTCTATTAAGTTTTCTCACTAGAGATTCAATAATAATAATGATAATAATAATAATAGTGATAATAGCTGGCATTTATTTATATAGTACTTTAAAGATTTATATATGATCTTATTTGATCTCAACACAACTCTATGAAGTAGAGAATATTATTATCCCTATTTTTACCAATGAGGAAACTGAAGCTGGCATAGGTTAAGTGACTTGCCCAAGGATACACTGCTTATAAGTGTCTAAGACAGGACTTGCACTATTTCCAAGTCCATGACTCTGCCTACTGTGCCTCCTAGCTGCCTAACCTTAAACTAATGATGTCATAAGTCTAGACAAGAAAAACAGTTCCAGACTCTGGGCTTCCCTAGAACCATAGACGGTCTTTCACCAAGCAGAGCCTATCCCTTAAGCGGGGTCTCTGAGGCTGCTAATTTGAAGAAATGATCTTTATCCTATTAATGGCTAATGAGTTACTAATATGGCTGACCATTGGTACTGTTGATTCTGGAAACTGGTGGGCAGGGTTAGAATCGGGGGAAATGATGATGGTGATGATGACAATAGCTTTAACGGAGGTAAGGAAAAGTCAGGGAAGGGCCAAGAATATGAGCTTCTACTGAGACATCCGGGCGGCCAATCGTGCAGAGGAGCCAGGCCAGGGAATTGTTCAGGCCATTTAGGCCTAGATCAAAGATGTTTTAAGAATGGGCTGCTCGTGCTTTTCAATTTATTTCATTTTTGCCTCTGCATCATCAATGGCTGGTTCATAGTAGGTACCTAATAAACACTTGCTGATTGACTGATGAACAAAACAACCCATTTATAGCACGTACAAATTTATTTCTTTCCCTTCATTGTTGGTGAACTCCTTTGGAAAAGTTCAAACTCTGATTCTAGTGTACTTCAGGGAAAAAGAAGGGGCATCTATCCCAGGCTAGGTAGCAATAAATCCCAAAGCGGCCACACCTTCCCCCTTAACTCTTGGGTAATATGTAGTAACCATCTAACAAACAGCAGAAAAGGAAGAAGATGTTAGGTGGGCTAGGACCAAGGAAGAGCTGTGACAGCTGGTTTACTTTCTGATCCAGGAGTAAGTCTTTTTTCTGCCTGATGTCCTTTCTGTACAGGCAGCTACAGGTGGAGAAGGAAATGTTGACATTTTAGGCACTGTCTTACCATCTTCTGATGGCTACAGACCTTTGGGCAAAAGGGCTGAGAATCCTGGCATTGAACAGCTCAAAGGGATCTTGATGGAGGTTTCATCATGACCTGATTCCCCCCCACCCTCGCATGCATCCCTTCCCCCAAAAAACCCCCTAAAACACACACACACACACACACACACACACACACACACACAATTAATATCTGACATTTGACAATGGAAGAAGTTCAACAGCCAAAGTGAGTCTGGATGTACGGTACAAAATACTTAGTCCTACTTATTACAGGGCTGGGGGCTAGGGTTCCTACGCTAGCCACCAGGTTCCAATATGGGTAGCATTTCTATTGTGCTACACTCTGAACTACCAACCTTAGGCAACTGTTGGGAAGAGGATGAGTAACTGCCAAATAAACCCCTTGATACTATGACACTGGTTTGATTACACTGAGGGGAAATTCCACCCTCTGAGGACACAGTAAAGTGTGGGTTGACTTCTATGGCTATCATAGAGCTGATCAGAAGAAAGTTCATTCTCGTTCCCCCAATATCAGCATTATAACTTGGCTCCACTCTAATGCCCCATCTGGTGGCAGGTGTTTGCCAAGACAAACCCCTTCCCAGTCCCCCCTGCGCTACTCTTCTGGCTCCCTACAGACACCTGGTCTAGAAGTAGCCCAGATCCTTTAGTTTGGGGTTAAATGATCTCAACTGGGAAGGCACCTTCTCTCCCCAGAGCATGTGTGGAAGCTAGCTGAATGTACTGTGTCACCTGAAAATTCTGCTTTTGTAGGTTAGCCAAGAATACTTGTAGGGTTAGGGAGGGTAAACTAGGACCTGGCTCAAGCCTCCAGGCACTTTCTCCTGGGCTTGTCCAACTCAGTGCCTTCCTTCAGGGCCAATGACCAACATGCTCATCCACGGCATCTGGGAATGCCACATTTTAGTAGCTTCTGTTATGTTATAATTTTTCTGACAGGCTAACTCATAACTAGTCTAAGGGAGAACCAGGCCCACATCCTATCTCTGTCACTACTACCCTCAGTCACAGCTCATTTCCTCCCCAAATCATCCTTCTTTCCCCTTTATCTCGAGTCCTCCATGCTTCCCTTTCCCCCACGCACACACCCCAAAATCATCGGGAGAAGAGAATAGGAAAGATTGGGACTCACGGTCCAGAGGCACCTCAATGGCCCCCACGAGGTTGAAGAACCAGAGGATGAAGGTCGCATGGATCCACAGAAGTGGCCACAGAGCCATCCTGGGTGCTGGGCCCCGATCCCAGCTCCCCTTTCCTCCAGGCCTCGCCGTCTCCTGCTGTTGCTTGAGCTGGACTGTCTGGCAAGAGATCAGCTGTAGAAGGAGACACATGCACAAGTGACTGTGTGTCATCCCTCCTCTCCCACCAGAGTGGGGAGGGGCACCAAGAACCCCCTCTCTTCTTGGGCTGGTACCGGGAAACAGAGCATCCTCATGCTGACTGGCCCTGGAAACAAGCGCTGGGCCCAGAGAAGAAATCAGGCATCCAGCCTGCTGAGACAGCACTATCTGTTGCTTCTTTTTTTTTGGTGCTGGTTTACTTGGAACTCTGTACCTTAGGGAGGAGAACAGGGGCCCTTAAGGGTGTTTGAGCTAAGAGGTGAAAGGGAGAAGAGATGAATAAGCAGAATAAGGGAAAAGAGCTCAAAATGTCAGCTGGCTCAGGCCTGTGCACACTTGAATGTGAAATGAGGTGGTTTTTTCTTTTTTGGCCAATGAGCAGAGGGTTTTGCAAATGCTCTGACCAACTGTGGAAGGTATTCTTTGGAGCTCCCTTTAGGAAGTTTGGTAGCATTATGCTGACTCAGGGAAATAGCATGAGCTCAGCAATTCACCTTGGTGGCTGGATGTAGGCAACCCTCCCAGATAGTTCAATATTCCAGTTCCTAGACCCTAGAGCCATCCTCAGGCTAGGTGAAGCTAGGTCTGGGGCACAGGGTAACCCCTGGAATGGATATACTAGGGAATCCCTTTCCCCTTGCCACTCTGAACCCATCTAACTTGCTGCTGCACTATGGTGGGACAAGAAGGGGCAGCTCCCCAGGCATCCATCTCACAAAGGGTAACCTTTCTCCCATTCCTATTCCTCTGGGCAGCTACCCAGTGCTGAAGCCTACAGATTGCCCCTCCCTTTATACCCACCACTTCCCCTGGCTTCCCCTGAGAAGTCAATGGCACAGGAGAGGCAAAAGAGAGGGAAGGAGGGCATCAAAGGCCCAGCTGGGTTTCTGGGCCTCACCCGTTGACAGGGAGGTAGGAAGGAAACCCTAGACTTGGAATCAGAAGACCCGAGTTAGAATCATGGTTCTGCCAACTCACTACCCATGCAGCTTTGGACAGCTCCAACACTCTGGGCATCGGTTTTCTCTTCTGGAAAGTGAAGAGGGGGCCAGTAAAGTCTCTCCCAGCTCTAAATCTCTGATTCTATGTCCACAGACTGCCTATGTGGTGGAAAGAGAAGTTCTGCTTCTGATTCAATCTGGCCAAATGACCCTAAATGCCTCCAGGCAACTTCAGACCACCATAAGCTGCAGAGCTGGGGCTGATCTTCATCGCTAGAAAGAGACACCAAGGAACCATAGGGGTGGTCTCCCTGCCTCCCCCCAAAAAGGCCCTTCTAGGAAACCTCGATTCTGATCTTCTGGATTAGGATGGATCAGAGTTAGAGAGAAGAGGAATCTCAGATGCGATCTAGTCCAACCATCCTCATTTTATATATGTGGCAACTAAGACCCAGGGAGGTTAAGAGGCAAGTACCTGAGGTCAACCAACTACTCAGAGGTGGGATTTAAACCCAAGTCCACTGACTCAAGACTCAGTGCACTGTTGACTATCAAGCTGTTTCCACCCAAAGAGGTTGATGTTTAGTGTAATGGGATCACAGAATGGACCTCTGTCGTCATCCACCTCTCACTTTACAGATGAGGACACAGGCCTGCAGAACTTACATGATCTGCTCTTACTCGCAGAGATGGCAAAATAGAAGGGAAAGGAATGAACATTTATATACCACCTACTATGTGCCAAGCATGCTAAGCATTTTTTACAAATATCATCTTATTGATCCTCACAATGACCCTGGGAGGTAGGTACAATGATTATCCTCATTTTACACATGAGGAAACTGAGGCAAACAGCGGTTAAGTGACTTTCCCAGGGCCACACAGCTAATAAGTGTCTCAAATCACATTTGAATTCGGCTCTTTCAGGACTACAGGTCTAGCTCCCTACCCACCACTGGAGATCAAGAGAGCTTACTTATTCAGATTTGGGCCTGATAGGCTGGTCATTCATTCCTTCCTAAGTGCAATATAAATGTTTATTATTATTGTTGTTGTTGTTCTTGTTGTTGTTGGAAGTTTGGCAAAAGCAGCAACTCTCAATCACCTTAGGGAGGACCCTTGTAAAATGAAACTTTTTTTTAAAATTCTGTACCACTCTGGATGGCCACTAGGGAGCACAGGAGTTTAGGAGTCACCAGCCTGGCCAACTCAATCCAGATGGTTCCCTGAAGGTGAGGAGAAGGTGCCAAATTTTGAGTCACAGGCTGATAGGAGCCTTAGAGGTCACCTCTGATTAGAGGGTGGCAGGCAGAGAGCTCCTAGATCCTCCAATTATGGCAAGCACCCAGGCCAATCAACTCTTCATTCCCAACAGCTACACTCCTCAGGACTCCATCATTCACTCCCCCCCCCCCCGTACCTTCTTTCCTGCACTCCCCTACTTTTCAGCTTTCTTCTGTGTATTGTCTTCCCCCATTAGACTTCAAATTCCATGAGGGTAGGGACTGTCTTTTGCTTTTCTTTGCATCCCCAAGACAGTGCCTGGCACACAGTAGGAACTTAATAAGTGTTTATTCACTGACTGACCTAGTCCGGATCCATCATTTGACAAGTGAGAGACTTACTCAAGGTCATACAGGTGGTGTCAACCAGGCAGTTATTTGGGGAAGCATGAAGTGAGTGACAAATCAGCAGAGCAGGACGTGTTGGTCTGAAGGTCATCTGTCCAGTCCTCCTGACTGTCAGGTCAGGGCTATCCTCAGGCCACCTCAGAAGTGGTCTTCTAACAACACCCTTCTCCAGAAGAAAAGTCGATATTTGCCTGAATTCTGAGCTAACATCCTTCTGGACCTACCTACACAACTGTATCCTGTGTCCCAGGTTAGAAGAACCCTTGGAAAAGACTTAGAGGGAATAAGGGAAGAAAGTGGGGAGAAAGACGCAACTCAAGTTTGAGCTTTGTGGGGGGAGGAAGAAAACCAAAGTTTAAATCTTGGTTCTGTCCTTGTATGAAGGCACTGCCATGGAAGTACAGACGGTGGAGGTGTGTCTTGTTTGGGGTGCCCTTGGCAAAAACCAGAATCCTGGAATTGTTTACAAAGAAGAAACACATGAACAAGAGTCAAAGTGAAGCCCAATTGTATCTGCTTTTTTTGGTCTTAAGTAGTTGGAGAGGGCAAGCAGGAAAGCTTCCCTGTTACTTTCCTGACACAGAGGAGATCATATCTAGCTATTCAGTTATCTCAAGTATTACTTTCTTCTACTCTACTCTAGAGATGAGTAAGATCTTAAAAGTCATTCCATATAATTTTTTTTTTTTACAGATGAGGAAACTGGATTCCAGAGAGGCAAAGGGACTTAGGTCTGTGGCAGAGCTGAAGCCATAACACAGGCCTCGTGATGCCCTCCTGCCTACTTGTTGATTGATGGATTACAGGCCCCTGCCCGGTCCTCCCACCTTATTATGCTGTGTGCTCACATACAGGGTTGGAAGGTTTAAGAATAAGTCAGGGGAGCAACTTGAATGTGGCAACTACCAAGCCCATGAGAATGGCAGTTTGGAAATAGCCATGGCACTCGAAGAGGCCCAGGGCATCTCTACTTGGGCGGCCCCACTACCTAAGTAAAAAGGAGAGGTAAATCTACCTAGAAGTAAATAACAAACTCCCGAAATGGCAGCAGAAGTTAGATGAGGAGACTGTGAGGGAGCATGTCCCCAAGGAACGGACCTTTGCCATCATCTAGACCACCCTTCTTACTTTCCAGATGAGCAAATATGGCCATAGAGGTTAAGTGACCCTCCTGAACTCACAGAGATAGCAAACTATAAGGGAAAGGAAGGGAATAAGCATTTATGTAGTACCTACTATGTACCAGGTACTATGCTAATAGCTTTTTACAAATATTATCTCATTTGATCTTCATCACAGTACTACAAAGAGGATGCTATTATCCTCATTTTTATAAAGATCGCCATTGATTCCTATTTATCTTAGTGTGGATTATCTCTTCTTGGACTGGTTACTGCAAACGTTTTATCCCATAATATTTTCCTTTTGCATCCCAGCATATCTTGGTCCCTTGCCTTGGCCGATGGTGTAGGTTCTGGGAATGAAGACTCATTATGGTATTAGCTTAGGCCAAATAGTTCCTAGCTGACACTATCCCAGATTGATTTGGCTACAGCTTCCATCTGGATGGTGGAAATCAGGGAAAGGAAGTGGATCCTCGGGAAGTGACTTGGCATTCTGGTGCAGCATTCTTGGGCAAGGGGGAGTATGCATGAAGAGCGAGTCAAGAGTTGGGGATGGGGTAGGAAGGGTGTTTTGGATTCCAATCAGCACTACACTAACTGTGCTGTAGTGTTAAAGGACAGCTGTGGGGTGTAAAGGGAGGAGAACTGTGTCTTATTTAGGGGTCCTTAATGAAAACTGGAACCCTGGACTGTTTATGAAAGAGAAACATTTGGATAAGAGTCAGAGATAAGCCTCATTACTCATGAAATTTTCAACTCATAGTGTTTTTAAACAGTGGTACAATACGTAGAAGGGAGTAGAGTCCTTAATAACTTACTAGAACACAAGGATGTCCAAGTGTTCAGCAGCCTCCTATCCCAACCCAATTCTTCCACAGGCCACAAAATCTGCCATTCAGAAGGGGCCTTTAGAGAGCTAGCCTAACTCCCCTCATCCACAGCTCCATAGCTCTCCCCTCATCTTACACAGAAGGAAGCCTAATCCCAGGGAAGTTACATGACTTGTCCAAGGTTAAACCGTTCCTCAGTGACAGAGCTGGGACCAAACCTGAGGCTTTCCAACACAGTACTTAAAAAAAAACCCAATACTGCACGGTATCCTTATGAATAAGAACATTCCAAAGTACACCTGTAATTTTAAAGAGAAAGAAATCTGGTCTCTGAGCTAGACATGCAGAAGTAGCACAGTGGATAGAGTGATGGACTGGGAGTCAGGAAGACCTCAGATACTTACTACTTGTATGACTCCAGGCAAGTCACTTAACCTCTATCTGCCT